GGGAGCTCAGTGCACCGTGTGACGCTGCTCATTCGGGCCGAGCCGGTGCTGCTCCCCCGGCTGCCAGCACTGACCCTGCGTGAGCGCTCTGCGGCCACCTGCATCCGAAGAAAGCCTGGACGGCTTGCCGTAGGGAAGCCCTGCGTGTCTTGAGCTCACCTGGAGGAAGCCCAGCGCAGTCAGGAGGCCGTTCCCTCCGGAAACCCTGGCAGCCCCGGTCGCCCAAGCGGCAGCGCAGTCTCCAGAGCTGTGGTTAAAGGAAGGCTTGACCGGGATCGTGCCTGTCATCCAGCGCTTTGGGAGGCCGAGGTAGGAGGATTACTTGAGGCCAGGAGTTCAAAACCAGCCTGGGCATCATAATGAGATCCCTGTATCTGAAATGTATACATATATATATTTATATATATATATAAAATATATATTTTAAAGAAAGGCTCCATTCACAGTTCCCTGGGAGGGAGGAAGCATTTTAAAAAATCAATCAATAGACCGGGTGTGGTGGCTCGTGCCTGTAATCCCAGCACTTTGGGAGGCCGAGGCGGGCGGATCACCTGAAGTCAGGAGTTTGAGATCAGCCTGGCCAACATGGTGAAATTCCATCTCTACTAAAAATACAAAAATTAACCAGCCCTGGTGGCAGGTGCCTGTAATCCCAGCTACTTGGGAGACTGAGATTGAACCCAGGAGGCAGAGGTTGCAGCAAGCTGAGATTGCACCACTGCACTCCATACCACTGCACTCCAGCCTGGGGGATAGAGCGAGACTCTGTCTCAGGAAAAAAAAAAAAAATTCAATCAATCAATAAAAACCCCTTTCATTCTAGAACGTTAAAAACATACCCAAATCAGAGACTAGAATAATGATCGCTCATGTATCCATCACCCAACTTCGTTTGAAACAGATCTTAACAACTGTGCTTGTTTCTTAAAGAAAAAAAACAAAAGGGTGTGGTAGTATCTGATTTATAGTAAATATTTTCATTCACTCTTTTCAGGAAAAAATGGGCAGGATTGGGGTGGGTTCAGGGCAGAGCATTGGAGAGCCCCGTTTGTGGACTTGAGAGGTCTCTACATGTTGGCTTGTGGAGGAAGTGGGGTGGGGCCCTTTTGGGGAGATGCTGGATCAAGCACAAAAGGCACTGCCCTGCGGTAGGGAAGCTGGACAGGAGGGATTTTTTTAAAAAGTAACGCAAGAGGATAGAATTATAACCTGTGGGTAGAAGTTTTAGAGACCCAGATATTTGGCTAAACCCCCCCCAGAATTAGCTGGGCCTGGTGGACCTGTAGTCCCAGCTACTTGGGAGGCTGAGGTGGGAGAATCTCTTCTCAAGACTACAGTGAGTTGTGATCATGCCACTGCACTCCAACCTGGGCAGCAAAGCAAGACTTTGCCTAAAAAAAATAAAATACACCCTAACACAGACAAAACTGCACAAAGTTGAATGAGCTCCTGTTGCAGCGGCTGCCATGTCTAAATGTTCCAGCCAAGGATGGTGAACAGCACGGGGGTCTGGAGGAGGAGGGTATCTGTGCACATTCATAACACCTGAGACTCAGCTCCCAACCCTGGCGCATTTTATCCTTTGAGGAGAGATGATTTTTTCCTAAAGTAAAATATCATTTGGAGTAAATCCTGAGTCAGAGCATGACTCCTAATTCTTCTGTTAGGTATAGGAGTGAGTCGAACCTTTTAGGTTTTTATTTTGTTTGTGTGGCGGGTGAGCAGTGACTCACTGGGCCAGTGGTGTGGTGGTAAAATAATTTACCGAGACAGTTGTAGGTAAAGAAAAGAAGATTTATTAGAGAAAGTAGGAAAATGTGTTGCAAGGTTGCAGTGGGCGGAATCAGCTGAAGAGGAGCTGCCTGCCGGGAGACCAAGGCCGGCTGGGGAGTTTATAGAATGGAACTTGGGCTGATTGATAACTAACTTCCGTTTTTCTATCCGCCTAGGTGTTTGATAAATTGAGGTGTTTGTTGTTAAGCAGGAAGTTTGTGAGCTCTGTGCGTTTTCTGTTCGGGAGGGCCACATGTCCTGGGCCGTAAAGAAAAACAGACCCACAGCGTGCAGCTTCCTCTCTTTGTTTATCCGTCCTGGACCATGGAGGAAGGCAGACCCATCGCTCATCTGCTTTATCTCTGCTTTCAGGTGGTCCCGCCAGCCTGGCTCCTTTTTCCTAATTAGGACTCCGCAGTTTGCATGGTTTCCTTTTTTGTTTTTTAAAAAAAGAGATAGAGTCTCACTCTGTCACCCAGGCTGGAGTACCACGGTGTGGTCATAACTCACTGCAGCCTCGACCTCCTGGGCTCAGGTGATCCTCCTGCCTCAGCCTCCCAAAGTACTGAGATTACAGGTGTGAGTCACACAGATGAAGACAGCCTTTGTAAGTCTGAGGTCTAAGCACATACCACTCAGGCAGGTGTTGGTGTATGGCTGGAAAGTGATCCTGCCTTGGTTGTCTTCCCACATGTCTTTCCCGTGAGCCGTGTGTACAGATGTGTGACTGTGGGGGCTGGGAAGTCTGAAATCTGCAGGGCGGCTGCAGGCTGGAGCCCCGGAAGAGCTGATGTCGCAGTGCCACCCGCAGGGCAGTCTGCAGCAGAATTCTTTCTCTGAGGGGATACTGGTCTTTTCTTTTAAGGCCTTCAGTCCACTGGATAAGGCCACTCCCTAATGGGCAACCTGGAGGTCGTCTGCTCTAGGTAAAGTCCACGGCTTTAAATGTTAGTCTCATCTTCAAACACACCTTTCACAGCAGCATCGGGATTGGGGTTTCACCAGCAACTGGGTGCCGTGGCCTGGCCAAGCGGACACATCAAGTTACCATCACAAGCAGTAACGTCACAATGGCTGGGTGCATGGGGGGCTGTGGAAAAAACACTGCTTTTTCTCTCCACTCTAACTCTCCATACAGAATATTTCACCTCAGGTCACCGAAACGTGGGATTTCTCCCCACAGGCAACCCGTTCTTCAGCAGACACCAGCAGGGCGTCCTCTCATTCAATTCCACTCTGACGCTGTCCTCTTGGAGATGGCATCGAACACCACAGGCTGAGGGCTCAGACCTCAAGGCTGCCTTCGCTTTTCATGCCCATTGCAAGCCCCAAGCTGTGACAAATCTCAGTTCCCCTGATCCCTGGCTTAAGGGTGGTTAATTTGCTAGGGTAGCTCACAGAACTCAGGGAAACACTTCATATATGTTTACCGTTGTGTTATGAAGGATATTACAAAGGACACAGATGAAGACACTCATGGGGAAGGCATGTGGAGCAGGGCGTGGAGCTTCTCACCACCATCTCAGAGCCTCTACGTGTTCTGTCTCTGGAAGCTCCCCGAGCCCTGTAGCTTGGGGATTTTTCTGGAGGCTTCATTACATAGGCATAATTAATTACCTCACTGGCCACTGGTGATCGACTCAACCTTCAGCTCCTCTCCCTTCCCTCGAGGTTGGGGGATGCAGCTGAAAGTCCTGACTCACTAATCACAGGGCTGGTTTCCCTGGCAACCAGCCCCCATCCTGAGGTCATGCAGGAGCCCACCAAGAGTCTCCTCAAAAGATGCTCCTGGCCGGATGCAGGGGCTCATGCCTGTCATCCCAGCCCTTCGGGAGGCCAAGGCAGGTGGATCGCTTGAGCCCAGGAATTTGAGATCAGCCTGGACAACATAAGGAGACTTCATCTCTACAAAAAATAAAAATGATTAGCCGGGCGTGGTGGCCTGCAGCTGTAGTCCCAGCTACCCAGGAGGCTGAGGTGGGTGAATCACTTGAGCCCAGGAAGCTGCAGTGAGCTGTGATCACAGCACTACACTCCAGCCTGGGTGACACAGCGAGATGCTGTCTTGAAAAAAAAAAAAGATGCCCCCATAACCCAGGAAATTCCAAAGGATTTAGGAGCTCTGTGTCAGCCATTCCTATCACTCAGGAGATGACAGATTTTAGGACGTCTATGTCAGGAATGGGGGCAGAGGCCAAATATGTATTTTTTATTATATCAAAATATCACAGGGGTCCTGGTGCCTGGCCTGGGCTTGGAGTGGCAGGGAGAACCCGGCTCCCAGCAGTGGTGGCCTGAAGATGTCTCACGGGTGGGCTGCGGGAGTTGCTGCAGTGACCTTCACAGACTGGCTTCCAACGGTCACAGCCAGTGGGCATCTCAGGGGAGGCCTGGGTGGAACACAACTCCCCATAGTTGGGGTGTGTCCCCCAGCGCCTTGGCACATGAGCCCCTGGGGCATGAAGCAGAGGAGACCACTCAGTGGAATGGAGGCTCAGAATAAAAGGCACTGTGCTGACCATCAGATTTTTAAAGCAATAGCTCATGCCCATAATCCCAGTCCTTTGGGAGGTTGAGGTGGGAGGATTACTTGTGTCCAGGAGTTGGAGAGCAGCCTGGGCAACATAGTAAGATCCTGTTGCTGAAAAAAAAAAAAATCTTAAAAAAAAAAAATGATGAGCTGGGTGTGGTGGTGTGCGCCCGTAGTGTCAACTCCTTGGGAGGCTGAGGTGGAAGCTACATTTAAAAAAATGTTATGTTGGCCAGGCATGGTGGCTCATGCCTGTAATCCCAGGACTTTGGGAGGCTAAGGCGGGTGGATCACCTGAGGTCAGGAGTTCGAGACCAGCCTGGCCAACATGGTGAAACCCCAAAAACACAAAAATTAGCTGGGTTTGGTGACGGGTACCTGTAATCCCAGCTATTCAGGAGGCTGAGGCAGGGGAATCGCTTGAACCCAAGAGGCAGAGGTTGCAGTCAGCCAATATCACACCATTGCTCTCCAGGCTGGGCAACAAGAGCGAAACTCCATCTCCAAAAAAAAAAAAAGTTATGTTGATTTTGCCACAATACCATAAAAGATCTGTCCTCCTGGTCCACTGGGTCGGGCTGTCAGATCTGAAGCGCGGGTGGGTTGCCCCGTGGCCTCCGCTGCTGGAGGGAGCTGGTAATTGTAGCAAGGAACAGCCGTCCCCGTGGAGGTGGTGGTAGGGAAAGGTGCTGCCACCGTTTTTCTTTCCCTACCGTTTATTTATAACACAGGAGAGAGTGGGAGCCAGGAAACCCTGCATGGGGACAGTGCCATCCCAGGTGGAGGTCGACCCCCATGTGTGTCTTGATGAGCAGCCCCCACCTCATCACATGAGGAGAAAGGAGAACTTCCTTTGGGGAAATGGACCCCAGTTTTGGAATCCTGGTCCTTAAGAGGCCTACGCCATGGCTTTGGGCTGGGTTCCTGGCCTGGCAGGTGGCAGC